CAGTGCCAATTTTAATAAATACTCAGCCATCAGTACTGAGAACTGGTGCTGGTGACATGAACTATACATGTATGTTTTGCTTTTCTACTGTGGTGAAGCAAAGTACTATCACAACGCGAATGGACTCCTCCCACCAAGCCTCACAGACCTTTACAGTCTCATAGGAATTTGAAGTAGCCTTCAATGTGTTTTATAGTGGAAGTCAAAACTCTGCATGTACAGTTAAGTAAGGTGGAAACACGATTTCTGCCATTCAGTCATGCACCGGAATGCTCTTCCTAAAAACACCATCCATGAGCTATGCAGCCTTTGCAAATATACTACATACGCATTTATTTTCTTTTTCTGTAGTGGAAACGTCTGCCTTTTCCTCGGCCTCCTCTTGCTCGTCGTCCCTATGTTGAATTTCTGAATGACAAGTCAGTTTTCATAAATTCACAACAGGGCCAGGCACAAAGGTGCACGGCTTTAATCCCAGCACTCGGGAGGCAGAGGCAGGCGGAGCTCTGTGAGCTCGAGGCCAGCCTGGTCCATGTAGTGAGTTCTAGACAAGCTGGGGCTACAGGGAGACACTGTCTCAAAAAGACCACAAAATAAATTAATTAATTAAACAAAATAAATAAATGAATAGAAATTTACAACATGGCCACAAGAGCTCTGTCTGGAAACGGTTAAAGGAAAAGGACAGTTCCTACCTGACCAGAGGTGAAGGCCATCGAAGCCATAGGAGAAAAGGTCATCACCAACTCCGTTGCCACCCCATTCTTCACCCCCACCAGGGTATGGAGAATAGCCTTCAGTGGAAGCCCAGCCCACTCGCAGGTGAGTGGCTTCTGCCGTGACAAAAGGCCCGGTGTGGTCCACCATGAGTTCGTAGTACCACTTTTTATACTGTGCAGACCCTTCACTGACTCCCAGGAAAATGTTGGGTCTCATACTTTAAAGGGATAGAAAAGAACAAAGGAAATTTCCATTGGCTTCATTGCTCAGGATTTTGAATATTATTCCTGATTCTCTAGGATGTGCATCCGTAATGGTTAATATTATCAACTTGATAAGGTCTAGATTCATTTAGGATCCAACCTCTGGGCATGTCTACAATGGAATTTCTAGATTTGGTTGGTGGAGGCAGCCAGTACCATCCCACGAGTTGTCTCTGGAGCTGATGAAGATGAGCAAGCTGGGCACCCGCACCCATCCCTCTGTTTCCTGACTGCAGATGCAGGGTGACCTTCCACTTCATTTCTTACCACCACCTGTCACTCCACCCGCACCCATAAGCTGTGAGTCACACAAGCCCCTCAGTCCTTAAGTTGCTTTGGCAGGTATTTTACCATGGCAACAAGTGTAGCATCTAATTCAACACTCCAAATCTGCACTGAGGTGGCACCCAGGGCGGTTGGCCTCCCCGCTGACCTTGAGCACACAGCACCTGCTTTTGGGTTTTCTTGCTTATCCTGTCTGCTCTTCGCATCCTTTTGTTGTTGTTATTCTTTTGGAGACAGGGTCTCCCTGTAGCCCCAGCTGACCTGGAACTCACTATGTAGACCAGGCTGGCCTCCATCTCACACAGATTACCTGCCTCTGCCTCCAGAGTGCTAGGATTAAAGGCCTGTGCCGCCACGCCCAGCTCTTCCACATCTTTATCATTAATCAAATGTACAAAATGAGGCCCCTGGTAAAGAAGAATTAATGGAGCTGTTATCAACCCAGGACATGAATCTTTCTAAGCTAAGCTCCATGTCTTATGGGCTACAAAGTGGTTGATGGTAACACATGATAAACGAGAGCTGTTGCTGTCTACACCTCACTCACTGCGAACAGAAGACTGTTTTAGTAAGTTGAATTTAAGTCCATTTTAAGAGTGGGTTTATGCTCTGTGATCTCAGGAAAAGCTGGAGGTGACAGAAAGCACCACTGACTAACAGCAGGATCAACACACAAAGGACCCTTCAGTCACTCTCGTCTTAAAAGTGCAATACATGGAGGCCAGAGAGATGGCTCGGCAGTTAAGAGCTCGCTGCTCTTGCAGTGGACCCAGGTTCAGTTTCCAGCACCCACATGACACCTAACAAGCATCGGGATCTCCAGTTCCCTAAGATCTGATGCTCACTGTATGCACACGGTGGACATGCACACATGCACACAAAACATTCATACACATAAAAGAAAAATAAATCTTTTTGTCGGGCATGGTGGTACACGCCTTTAATCCCAGCACTCGGGAGGCACAGGCTGGTGGATCTCTGTGCATTCAAGGCCAGCCTGGTCTACATAGTAGTTCCAGGAAAGCTGGGGCTACAAGGAGACCCTGTCTCAAAAAGACCAAAAAAAAAAAACCTTTTAAAAAAAATACAAAATGGAGTTTAGACCTCGCTTCACAGCAGTTTAAAGAGGGAGAAAGCACCCACTGTCTCTGGATTGCTCTTAGTTACCTACCAGTAAGTGTGTGGTTGGTATATTTTCATTGTTTATTGATTTGTTTATCTGGAGGGACAAGAAAGACAGCACAGCAAAGTGCTCACCAGCTCAGTCCCTGGCAACACACCTGAGTGCCAACTGCAGTTTCACCCTCTCCGTCCATAAAGGGTAGATGAAGGTAATACCAAATACACACAGAGAGACAGACAGACAGACAGACACAGAGAAAGACAGACACACAGAAAGACATAAACAGACAAGACACACACAGACATGTATCACATACACACATACACAGAGAGACAGACAGACACACACACACAAAGACAGACACAGAGAAAGACACATACAGAGACATACACAGACATATATGACATATACACATACACACACAGACACAGACAGACACACACACAAACACAGACACAACAAAGACACAAACAGATACGCACACAAAAACACAGATACAGAGAAAGACACAGAAACACAGATACATACACAGAGAAAGGCACAGACGGACACACACACATACACAGAGACACATACACAGACACAGGTATATACACGGATACACACACAGCACAGGTTACATGCAAAGCACAGAGCACAGTAGCCTGCATGTCACACTTAATGGATGTCACATTCTGTGAAAGGCAGATCTGGTGAAAGACAGCATTTGCTATACTATTTATTGTGAAATGTGTTGCATTTTGGACACTGTATATTTTATCATATTCAGTAGAATGTTCAAGGATAATGAAGAACAGTGTATTTAGTCACAATTTAAAAAGTATTTATTTCTATGTGTATGAATGTCTGCCTGTATGTACATATGTGCACCATGAGCATGCAGTGTCCTAGGGGCCAGAAGAGGGCCTCAGATCCCCTGGAACTGGAGTTACAGGTGGACGTGAGCCATCAGGTGTGGGTGCTGGGAATGAACTCCTGTCCCCTGCAAAAGTGGCAAATGCTCCAAGCTACTGAGGAACCTCTCCAGCCCCATTTAGGTTCATTCTAGGAAAGGATATAACTTCTTACAACTACATACAACTACATTCTTGCATTAATATACCTGCCAGTCTCCTTCTGAAGATGTCAGTTATGATCCATCTATATATCAAGATGAACTGAGACCCATACATGTTTGTGATAAGTCCTTATTTTGTTACTATTACCCCATCTGCTTGGTAGAAAACAACACTTGCTTACTGGGGTAAACACACAAAAGACCCTAATAAAGCAAGCAGACTACTTGCTGTCTTAGTGGCAGAGTTAGAGAACTCCACGTATGAACTGATTAACAATACCCAGCGGAACTCACCTACTGACATGGTTCACAAGACGGGTCTGCAATAAAAGATCTCGTCCTGGTAGGAGATTGTCACAGATGAGATGCTGGTTAGACCGGACGGCAACTCCATGGCACACACAGAGAGAACACAAGACGTCCAGGACCTGGAGAGGAGAGAGATCACTCCCAGCTGGCTCTCACTCAATCAACAGCAGCACTTTCCACAAAGCAAATGCATGCCTCCAGCTCGGTTTAACTCAGTTACTTTTGGTTTGTTTGCATGTGTGGGTATGTGTGGTGTGCATACATGTGTGTATGTTCCCATGTGTGTGACCACACGTGTGCACGTACATGTGGAAAACAGGTTGATATCAAGTACCTTCCTTGATTGCACTCCACCTTATATGTCCAGGGAGGGGTCTCTCAGGTGAACCCAGAGTTCATCACATCAACTAGTCTACCAGCAGCTTGCCCATGGTCTCCTGCCTTCTAAGCACTGAGATTACAGGTGAGTTTTCATTCTTGCCCAGAACTGAGGATCTGAACTCTGGTCCTCACGCTTGCACAGAAAACACTTAATTCCTCCCACTCCAACTTGGCATTTTAACCTGACAGCATGTGTCCTACCAATTTTCCAGTTTTCATTCATTTGTGAAGCAAGAACTGCTCAGGCTCCCACAGGTACAATGAACAAACACTAAACAATCTTGCTGCGTTGTAACTAAAAATGAAAAAACACTCATGAAAAATGTTATGTATCTGTAAAGTTATTTTATTTTAGCATATACCTTAATTTATGTTTTAACTGATACATAAAAATAAAAAGTAAGCTCATAGGTAGGAAATCAAGTCCTACTTTGATACATGTGTATGTTCTGTAATGTTCAAATCATGGTGAGGGCATCTATAGACTCAAACAT